AATTAAGGAGATATAAAATTATAGTAGGATGGATCCCATAGAATTGAATGACACTCCTTAAGAAGCGTCGGCAACGAGTTAAGAGTTTTTTTTTCTTAATATTTACTATTTATTAATTCATCCCAAATAGGCATAACGACTATGGGCCGAACAGTTACACAATGACAAAGAAAAGCCTAAATCGAAACTCCACCTGAAAGAAGATCTGAGAACGGACGGTACACCGGAAACACAACCTAATATACCATTCCCGTCGCTAACAAGAACTACTCCTTTGTATCGAGGAGGAGGAACTCAAGTCTTTGGCTGGAGTTAGCGGTTCCTGGCGCATGTTGAGGCCTCATCCCGCCGTTTCCTGGAGCTTTCTCCCGGAATAGATTATGTTGCGACCTCCGAGACCCTATCCCTTGCGTCCTCAGCCTAACAAGATGAGAGAACACGAAATCGAACCCCCTTTCCGATTTTGCTCACCAGTGAGCCTTTCGAGCAAACCAATCCTCAATCTGGTGAAGCGAATCCAAATCATGGCGACTGAAGACGGTTGATGGCTCAAACAACCCTTCAGCTCTAGATCTCCATGACTAACCATCTAGGATTTTCCAAGATCCACAGTCAATATCTTCACAAGCAGCAAACCACCGATCTAGATCTCGACTTTTCGCCGCTTCTCAGAGCCAAAACATTAGCCGCCAAGCCATGAGTAGCCACTCAAAACACCTGCCAGTGTTCTCGTGCCAACAAGACCATAACCATGAAGGAGAAGCAACTCAAACCAAAATGGAAGAAGCCTCCAAGATACATTGAGACCATATCTACCACACCCAAAGCCGCCGAAGAGAAGAGGAAGCCCACCTCTGCAACACTGATTAACCTAAAAGAGCCGCCGTTGAAGATCAGAGAACAAAGAGAAAAAAGTGAGGGGATGGGCCAGGGCGAACTGTTGGGGAGAGAGTAGCCGCTCAAAGGCTTGGTTCGTTAATCAACGAGTTAAGAGTTACCGCCATTAAAGAATCATGGCTAGAGAAATATTGGTGGTCAAAAAATTGTATGAGACAGGGTCTATTCGGGGAAGTAGTCGCAGACGCTGCGACTGGGATAAGAAAACCCCTTTATATTTTGTTTAAATCTTCTTCATTTCTCCTTTTTTTCCTTTTGCTGCGACTGAGATTTCAGTATAGTGGGAGTCGCTGGAATCAATAGCGACACTACACATGCTTTAATTTTGATGTTGCGACTGTCACAAGTTTTAAAAATCATTCACAGATATCGACGGGGAAGAAGATGTACAGTGATATTGTAAACTAAAAATAAAAATTAAATTCAGTATTTATTGACAGTCGCAAGTGGAGTCGCACTATCGCAAAAAGAACACGGCCATAGCTCTCGTCTTCTTAAATCACCACTTCCTTGTAAACCATTTCCGCCGCAGTTGGAGATATAGTTACCGTGATGCCGATTTTATAAGTTTTCAAGAAAACCGATAATTTTTCTAAATAAAATTAAATAATTAATTAAGATTATAGGGATACAATTAAAATTTTGATTTTGTTGCAATTTTTTTTGTCGACTTCATACTAAGAGATTAACTCAAATGAGCCAATCTGACGGAACATTATTTTACAAATTTAATAACATGCGAACTGACACGAGCTTTGCGTGCCACATAGTCCGCTTTTACATTTGCATTTATTGAAATAAGAGACAACGAAAAAGATGAGAATTCTTCCCTGTCAACTTTTATAGCCTCCAAATACGTAGAGAACGCCGGCCATTCATAAAAAAAAACACCATCTTCACCAAGTCAGAACATTCAGAGTAGAACTTGAGCTCGCAGAAATTATATCCAATCATACATCGCATCACCCAAACAAGAGCTTTTACTTCTGTATGGAGGGGAGAAAGACTTAGTCTAGTAGTTAGGGCCCCCATAGCTGGTGGTGCACTCTGTGGTTGCTGACAATACCATCCTAATCATGCATACTGGTATGTAGCCTTCCATGATCCATCTAAATAGCATCGATACCCTTCCACCAAGGGGTATAATTCACCTACTGGTCCATTAGTCATGACGTTCCTGCTATCATTAATGGTATCTTAGTATGATTCCTCAATTTGCGCCTGGTTCCAGGCCGTAGCCTCATCCTTCCCTAATCTAATAACATCCATCGGACATTCATCCACATGCTCTAAAACTTTTGAATTCCTGGCTTTCCATACCTCAATATCCAAGGAAAACTAGCATCCCCATCCACAGGGTTGTTAAACCCAAAAAGATATGCCATATTTGCATATACAGAATATGAAGGAAAAAACTGTGGACCCATAGGTATATTAGCTAGAGCCCACGATTGTCGGGCCGGAGGACAATCAAAAATAGCATGGTTCACCGTCTCCATCTGGTTACCACACCGCGCGCAGCTGGGATCAATATTGATTCCCCGCCTTCATAGATTAGCTGACACCGATGTACACCCAGATAACAACTACCACATAAAATGTTTAATTTTAGGTGGGAACCTGATATACGCTCCAAACGGCTACACGTACGAACAGGCTAGGGTTGATCGAGTTGGCCTTCGCTCTCTCTCGATAGAACCAATAACAAGAAGGAACTTTAAGAAGACAAGATAGCTTAGGGGAAGTAAGGGACTCGCACAATCAAGTAACAAGCTCACACGGATTGATTCAAGGGGAAACCACTCAAGAACACTCGTGTAAGGGCTCTCAACTTGCAAACGGCGCAAGAGAAGAAAATGCAACTTTATTGATCTAGGTTAAAAACGTGACTACAAGGCTGCGAATGGGACTTTATTAATAGTCCTTCAGCCATGACCTTCGAGGGTCGAGATTCAATCTCATGGAACTAACGGTTACAAAATAAACTAAAGAAAAACAACCAAAAATGGAAACTTGTGTCATTCGCACAAGTGAACCCTCTCCACAAGTTGGAGGCTTAGATTCGACTCTCTAGGACTTAGACTAAATGAAATAAAACAAAAATGTTCGGTTGATAGGCCCTGCAAAACAATTGAGAGAAAATGGAAACAATGAAAACCGAACTTACCTTATTCGAAGGAATGAGAGGCCACATAGTTATCTCTGGTTCTCCTTCTTCTTCTTCACATTGACTCTTGTTCTCTAGGCATTCCTTGACTTCGTACGAGCCTATACGGCCTTGCCCTCCATTCTCGGTGTTGCGGGCCTCGGACGTGCCGTTACGGAGGTAGTAGGGCTCCTCTCGATCATCTCCCAATCCGTCTCGGTCGTGGGCATTTCGGCTTCGATCGTTGGCTCCAGAAACATCACTTATCGAGTGATTATCGAAGCCCAAGTTGTTTGGATCAACTTGGTTTGTGACTTCACTCCGTACAAGCTTTCCGGCGTCCGGGGGCGGTACTTGTCGAGCTTCTTCATGTTCTGCGGGTTGTTTCTCAAAACGCTCTCCATCAAAGCTTTTAAAATCAGCACTTTGTTGATGAATTTCGAATCCCTTGGTGTTTGGTGGTGGGTCGTCCGGGTCGACCGTTCGGGCGTTCGTGTCGTCGATGCCGGGTGGGGGTGCTCGATCAACTAGTGTTTCTAGGGGGTTTCCTGCAAAACCGGCTCGTTCATTAGTCCTAAAATATGGACTTGGTCGATGAAACTTACCTCGGTTGTTATGTTCTCCGTTGTTGGGTCGATGGAACTTGTATAGACTTCCATTCGCGTCCGGGGGTCGCGGGTCAGCCGATAGAGTACCCATTTGGCCGGTCGTATTGATCAGTGCCTCAACTCCTTCATTGAACGTTTTTCTTAACTTTCTTGTACGAGAACGGGTCATCGGTGCAGCTATGACCGTCGGGATGGCCGTCCGTCGAGCACTCGTCTATGTCCGGTTCTATGTCCTCATCAGAACCTTACCTTCCAAACCATAGTAAACAATGGTGAAAGCTCAGGGCCACAACCTTCAAGTTTAAAGCGTTGAGATTCCACCATTCTTGCTATATGGTACCCCGACTTAACCGTATATTTCCCATTATATGTAAAATGCCACCCTAAGGAGTCCGTCACTGGATTACTACCAATAGAGATTACATTAATTAAGGAGATCTCAGACGGATCAAAATATTTGTAAGTAAATCCATACGCCACAAGGTCCTTTGACGATCAATCAAATGTTTTATCTGTAGAGATGGGTCCATAACCGACCCATTACTAGAAGCTGGTCTTGGGAATTGAGCGAGAATCCAAGGATCAGTCCATATAGAAATAGACTCTCCTGATCCAACTCTTTTAATAAGTCCTTTATTCACCAGAGATTTAGCTGAAATAATACTTCTCCAACCATACGAGGGGGAGTATGTTCGGATCTGCTTCATTGGATTCGAATTCCGATAATATCGACTCTTGAAAACCTTTGCAAAAAGAGAGTCTGGAAAGTCCATAAGTCTCCACAACTGCTTAGCCAAAATGACTGAGTTAAAATCCTGAACAACCCGAAATCCTTGACCACCAATACATCCCCCCTGAATGACCGTTTGTACCCCACCAAAAGTCTGCGACTGCACTGGTCAGCTTAATTGTAATCGTTTTTGGTAACCGAAAACATAACATCACATACGTAGGTAGTGCTGATGCCACATCCTTAATCATCACCTCTTTCCCACCCTTAGAAAGCAATTTCGCCGACCATCCGTTGATATTAAAATAACACTACTTACTTCTATAGATTTTAAATTATTATTACATGTAATTTTATTCCAATAAAAATTTATTATGTACTATATTAAACATCCAAATAAAAATAATTCCCTTTTTATCTTTTAATGCAGTTTGTCTACAAAAACCACAAAAAAAAAAAAAAAATTCTGAAACATTACCTTTTTTTTCTTTCTTTCTTTGACAATGATTATATGTTAATATATATAGGAGATATTTTTATCTATAAATGGAATTGTCTTAGAAACGACAATAAGTCAGGAAACAGCTCAAACCAGGGACAGTCGCTCGTGGAGACAGAGATGGAAAGGGTTTTGTCTCTAGTAATCATGATGATGATAGTGTTGCTTCTTCTATCTTTGTCTGGAGTTGGAAAATGCAACAATGCTTACAGCAGAAGTGATTTCCCAGAGAGCTTCGCTTTCGGAGCAGCGATATCTGCTTATCAGGTAAGACCTTAAGACCTTCTCCTTAATTCTATGGTATAGCTTTAAGATTTTGTCGGTTTTGTCAAAAGTGGGAAGGAGCTGTTGATGAAGACGGGAGGAAGCCTAGCGTTTGGGATACTTTTGTTCACTCTCGTAAGGCCTTTTTTCCATCTTTGGTCTTTTGGTTTAGGGGTGGGCGTTCCGGTTTACCGTTCACATTTTTTGGTTTTACTATGTATCGGTTTAATAAAAAAGTAAAACTTAAGGGATGTTATTGGTTTATTGATTTGTAAATCCATATAGGATTTGTGAATCTTATTATTTACGAAATCAAAATACATGGATTTTGAAATTAACATGTTTTATCCTTGGATTTCAATCCTTCTATTTTACACTATCAAATCTATTTAAAACATACTGCGAATTTTAAAATCCAAAAACAAATCATTAAACGAATAACATAGGATTTTAACTAGTATTTATAAATCATACAACCAATAACACATGATTTTGATAGTTATTTCAAAATCAATGATTGAATAACATATGATTTTTGTTTGGATTTCTAAATCCGTTAAATTCCATGAACCAATAACCTCCCCTTCGTTTAAGAAGTCTGATGTAATTCGATTTGGTTTATATGTTTATAGAGTCTATAGTTTAAAGAAAAAGAAACAGGAACAATTCAAAAACTATATGCAATTTTGTTCGGTTCGATTTCTTATTCGTGGTCTAACCGCAATTTAAATACTTCTGCCGTTCCAATTTATAAAATGTTTTAGCAATTTCAATTTATTCTACTTTATTTGATTTTTCGGTTTTCTTTGCACAATTTATATTACTTTAACTATTTATGACTTTTTAATACTGCATTATCTTTTTATATTGATTGAATTTTAATAAATGATATCATCTTTATTATTTCTTAATTGTTGTGATTTTAACCAAAACATCTTATAAAGTGGAACAGAAGGAATAATTAATATATAAAAAGTATATAATATACTAGACGAGTTGTTTCCCAACATAATATCGAAAGATGTTTCATATTATGATGCTTCAAAAAAATTGGCAGGTAAAATAGATAACGGAGACATAGCTTGTGATGGATATCACAAGTACAAGGTTCGTTGTCTTTATATACAATACTCACGGATTCACCAAACAAAACACCAAAGGTGTTTTTTTTTTTTTTTTTTACTCTGTATAGGAAGATGTGAAGCTTATAGCCGAAACTGGCTTACATGCATTCAGATTCTCCATCTCTTGGTCTAGGCTACTCAGTAAGTCTTCTTTATGAGCCTCCTTTTTCTTACTTTACTCTCAAGAGATCATCAACTTTATGATGAGCTCTTGTCTCATTAGATGGAAGAGGTTCCATTAACCCTAAAGGTCTACAGTTCTACAAGAACTTCATCCAAGAACTTGTCAAACATGGTAATACTAACCCGACTTTAAAGTACTAGACTTTGCTTTTCCTTCATATTAATTGGGGACTATATGTAATTTTACTGCAGGAATTGAGCCACATGTTACACTACATCACTTCGATCATCCTCAGTATCTCGAGGATGACTATGGAGGATGGATCAACCGCGAAATCATGTAGTGATCGACGTTTTCTTTGCTTCTTGATTAATTTCACATGTTTCTACTGAAAAATAAAAAATGTTTCTTGTTATTTGCTATCGCAGCAAAGACTTTACTGCTTATGCAGATGTTTGCTTTAAAGAGTTTGGGAGCTACGTCAAGTTCTGGACCACGATAAACGAGGGTAATATATTTACTATTGGAGGTTACAACGATGGGAATTCACCGCCCGGTCGTTGTTCTTTACCGGGAAAAAACTGCTTGCTAGGGAACTCTTCCACTGAAACATATATCGTTGGCCATAACTTGTTGCTTGCGCATGCCTCGGCTTCAAGACTATATAAGCAAAAGTACAAGGTACTAGTTTCATATACATGTATCGATTTTTTCAAATAAACTCTCTGAAATGTGAGACTTGGTGACAAAGTAGTAAGTGTATTAATATATGTAATGTGCAGGATATACAAGGAGGTTCTATAGGCTTTAGCTTATTTGCAATACATTTTACGCCTTCTACGAGCTCCAAAGATGATGAAATCGCGACTCAAAGAGCCAATGATTTCTTCTTTGGATGGTGAGTCAGGCACAAACAAACTTAGGTAACATATCAAAAGTTTTAAGCTAAAAAGAAAGAAAATAAAATAGGCTGTTCTTGAAACTTCAGGATGCTTAAGCCTCTTATATATGGAGACTATCCCGATGCGATGAGAAAAACCGTTGGATCAAGACTACCAGTTTTCTCAGAGGAAGAATCAGAACAAGTTAAAGGCTCATCTGACTTCATAGGAATCATTCAGTATCTTACAGCTTCGGTCACAAACATCGTAACGAACTATTCTCAATCCGGGATCACAGATTTTTACTCAGACTTAGGCGTCTCTGTTAACCGTAGGAGCCAAACTCAATCTATTAATCATCTTTATCTTTGATGGTTTGCTTTTGTTAATCATCTTTTTTTTTGTTTCCTTTTATATTGCTTTGGATGGGGCAGTTTTTTCTCTGGAGGTAAGAGTTTCAATGCTACCAAATACAACTAAGTCTTCCCAACTCTGTTTTTACTAATTGTTGTTTTGTTTTTGTTTGGACAAGTATGTTGTTTCTCCATGGGCTATGGAAGGCATCCTAGAGTACATAAAGCAGAGATATGACAATCCTCCTGTCTATATTCTTGAGAATGGTCTCTCTCTCTCTCTCTCTCTCTTCCTCTTTCCCTTGTCTCTATGTCTCTCTCTTTGTTGTTTTTGTCTTAGTTTGTTCAGTTCTCTTGCCAATGCAAACAAATAGGTAAAGCAATGAAACAAGATTTGGAGCTGCAACAGAAGGACACAGCAAGGATTGAGTACTTAGATGCTTACATTGGTGCAGTGCTCAAAGCCATTAGGTAAGTAAAAGTGTTTCTTAATCCATCTTATCTTCTATGCTTCTTTGTATGTGAATGAAAGATACAAAAGACATGACTCTACATGTAGGAATGGATCAGACACGAGAGGCTACTTCGTATGGTCATTTATGGATTTGTATGAGTTACTAAGCGGATATGAGAATAGTTACGGATTGTACTCTGTCAATTTCAGCGACCCTTATCTCAAAAGATCTCCCAAACTCTCTGCTCATTGGTACTTTGGTTTTCTCAAGAGCAAAACCAGCTTTCTTGGTTCCCAAGGCATCATGCAACTGCAGAGCAACTTCTCGTCGTCGTCCTAGTTATAGTGTTGCTATTGATGTATATGATGTATCCGATTCAGTTTATAGTCAGATTCTTGAATAAAGAAGATTTAAAAGCATACCTTATTAAACTCATACAATGCCTTAACACCTAGTCCTCCTTCTTTTCAGGGCAAATTACACTTCCTTCTAAGCTAGTTTAGCTTTCCGTGGGTTAACTTCTGGACACTTCAGATTTATAAAGCCCGGACAATGACCTTTTAGTGGGTTCTATGTTCTTTCTCACAATAAGCCAACAAAACCTAAACCAGTTCCGGTTAAAGTAAATTAATTAATCCAACATAAACAGACAAACCAACCAAAGCCAATTCCAATTAAGTTAAATAAAGTAATAAACCGACAATTAACCGACAAATCAATTCCAAATACCCAGCATTTCTAAACATGCTTCTACCAAAACAATCCGCGAGATCCTAGATCATCGCCCTCTTTATCGCCACGGCTCCACGATCATATTTGACATTTAACTGCACCATAATAGAAATGAGATGCGTGAGTATTATCAAAAAGACCCAGTGAGACGGTCCCCATCTACTAGGATAAACACGCAACCACGATAAGATATAATGACACTCAAACAAAGCCAATCAAACAATCAAACCAGGCAAAACAGGAAAATGACAAGCTACATAAAATGAACCGGCCCTTTTTTAATCCTTTAATTAATAGTTACATACTTATTAACTAATTATTCCCAATTAAACATGCAACAACCAGCAAAAATAAATTAACTAGACCAATAATCATAATCCAACCCGAAAATATCATAATCGATAAAAAATTCAATAACAAACAACCAACTAACCAGCATTCCTAAACATGCTCTAATCCATGTTCCAACAAAATATCAAATAACATAAATGACAACACGGAAACTCGATCCTAGATCATCGTCGTGATTTACGATCACACCTTATCTTTACTTACACAACAATATAAAAGAGATGCATGAGTATTATAATAAATATATTCAGTGAGACGGTTCTCTCATCTATTAGGCTATGCTTTTTTTGTGTGGTGTTAGTTGTTTTAACTCGTTTTTTGTATATCATAGTAGTTGAGAGGACCATCTCTTTTCTGTTGTGGTGCATGCAAAAATAAGGTGTGATCGTGGAATTGTGGCGATGAAAAAGAGGATGATTCAGGATCTCGAGTTTGTGAGGTTGATATTGTGGTTGCGAATGCACTCCCACTAGTTTTTAGCAAATGTCTTTGCGATGTACCTGCATGCAAATGAAAGTTATTTGCTCATCAAAAAAATATTTCTTTTTATGATTAAAGCAATTTCTGACCTCTATATCTATGTACAAATCTCCATTATCATGAAGATCTTTCGTAATTAATTTCTGCGCTAGTATAGTCTGGGACATATCTTAAAGTAAATTTTAAGTTTTTAACATAAATACAAAATTAATACTTAAAATAGAAAATCATTGAATAAAGAAAATCATTAATACTTAAAATAGAAAATCATTGTAGAGATCGGGTGAAATTTTTGAAAGATATGGCTAAGGAGATGTTTGAGGCTCACGTGTTAGCGGCCTGTAGGTTGGATAGGGTAGTCCGAGAGTAGCAGATGATTGCGTTGAAGCCGCCGTCGAATGGATGGATTAAGCTAAATACGGATGGAGCATCGAGAGGGAATCCGGGTTTAGCAACAGCGGGTGGTGTTTTACGAGATGGTAACGGGCAATGGTGTTGTGGTTTTGTACTCAATATTGGGATATGCATTGCACCTTTAGCAGAGCTATGGGGAGTCTATTATGGTTTATACATGGCTTGGGAGCGAGGGATCATGTGTCTTGAGCTAGAAGTAGACTCAGAAATTTTTGTTGGTTTTCTTAAGACAGGGATAAGTGATTCTCATCCGCTGCCATTCCTAGTACGTTTGTGATATGGCTTCATCTCAAGGGACTGGATAGTCCGTATTTCACACGTGTATAGGAAAACTAACCGTCTTGCGGATGGGTTAGCGAACTCTGCGTTTTCTTTACCTTTAGGCTTTTTTTTTTTTGTAATTGATATACAGTGTTTTTAGAGTCTTTCACCCTTTCTTTTATGTCCATTTTGAGTCGTTTATCGTATTTTAGTCCGTCTTTCGTGTCTTTCGAGTCGTGTTTTGAGTCTTGAGCAGGGGATAAGCGGTTGGAGCAGAATTGACGCGTTTTGGACCAGTTTCGGGTAAGGAAGTGACCAGTTTCGCTGATGCAGAACATGGACCGATCGGTCCATCACCCAGACCGATCGATCCGACCGGACGGACATTCCAGAAACAAAACGATCGATCGGTCCTCACTTCCGATCGATCGATCCTATCACCCGTACAAGATCCGGCGCCTAAAGACCGATCGGTCCATCTGTTAGACCGATCGGTCCATTCCAATTTCGGTTTCCTTAACCGGAGTTAACTTCTATTTTCTTCTGTAATGGGTATTAAAACCCAAAAAGACCTGTTTTTCAGGGGACGTTTTTCACAGCAGTTTTTCTGAGTTTAGTCTTGTAAGCAACATCTGGGATAGAGATTGATCCTCTTTGACAATTTGGAGAAGATTTCTAAACCTTTTTCTTATTTTAATCTATTGAATCATGTTTCCTTTAAAATCTATTTGCTTTGTTTCGATTGTTATGTCTGAGTAGTCTCTAAATTGGGTTTTAGGGTTTCAAGTAGGAGAATTCAATGATTTGATAGATTAGATGTCTTAGGGAATTCTTAATCATTAGGTTCTTCAATTTACATGTTCTCAATGCTAGAATAGGATTGATCACTTTGTTTTAGAACTTAGGCTTTTATGTGTTTCAGAGATGTTCGATAAAATGCCTGAATGAATGTAAATTGAGCATTGTATTTCTAACCTGCGAGAGTTGATGTTAGAACGCTTTGTGAACCAAATTAACCTGTTTGATAATGCAAATTTGGCTAGGAAATTACAAATGAGAGTTTAGTAATTGAATAGTTGGATTTAGTGATTAATGTCTTGAGAGAGAGTTAGTCTAAACTTCTGTTCATGTTCAAGAACGGTTCTTCATGTCTGAATTCCTTATTGCTTTTATTTGTTATTCATTGATTCTCTGAAAATACCCTTCAGCCCAATGTCTTTAATTCATAAGTTTAAATCTCTCTTTTATTTGCATTTTTATTTACAAAACTGAAAACCAAACAAAAACCCTTTCCGCTTTAGCTAAGAACGAGTTTCGCAAGTCTTTAGTGTATCATTGCTCCTTGTGATCGATCCCGCATATACTTTACTTCGGTTAAGTTATCGGGTTAAATACTCGAGTAATCAGTAATGTTGTTCCGCCGGATTTGGCGTCATTGTTTAACGAGGATGTTGTTGGTCAGCCTCGGCCAAGAAACGTTATTGTATGACTTTTTTTAATTTTTAATAAAACATAGGGAGGGCACTAACTCCCGTCAATTTACCAAAAAAAAAAAAAAAGAAATAACAGAAATACTAGCAAAGGGAGACATCCAATGGCATATCTCCTCGGGACAAAGAACCCACCTTGGGAGCCTATATCTGAAGCTGTTAAAATCATTTTGAAAGAGTTTACAATTGGCCTATGATGATTGAGATTTTGAGTAGGGATTATAACCAGTTTTAAAAATATACTCCCTCCGTTTCAAAAAAGTTGATATTTGGATGTTTTGGGTTTTTCACACATATTAATATAAAGTAAAGCAGTTGTTTATGAATTAATTTATAATTACTTTTTGGTAGAAAGAGAAAGTATAAACCACTAGATAACTGACATGTGTTGAAAAGCATTAAGTAAAAATATAGTTTTAACTTTTTAATCTACAACATCAATCTTTCAGAAACAACAAAAAAAATTAAAACATCATATTATCTGAAATAGAGGGAGTAGAAAATAAGTTAGAGAGAACTGGAGAAAAAAAATCGCAACTAATATAGAATTTTAGTTTTAACTTTTCACTAACTTTTGTAGTACATATCAATGTGATCTCAGTATAAACATCATCAGTATTATTCTCCGCCTAAAATAAAATAAAATAAAATAAAGAAAAAAGGTAACCCATATGTAGCCGTACTTAAAAACATCAAAATACATACCTTAAGCTGAATAGTAATAACACGACACAAAAGCTTGGAAGGAAGATTAGAAATTAGTTGTGTATCATTCAACTCTTTTCTTGTAGATGTCTCAACCTGAAAATCCCTCAAAATATTTCACTAACAAAGACTCAAACAGAGAATACAAAGTGAAAGAGAAGGAGAGAGATCTCACAAACTTTATATATCCTAGAGGAAAATAATAAACATCTTCTTCAACTTTTCGAAGATCGCACACATGTCTAACACAAATCTACCATAATTGCTTATATATATATATATATAATCTTGGTTCCTTTAACTGCTAAATAATAACTAGAATATTGTGACCTAATAAAAAAGATTTTGATTCACTGATATGTGAATATGACTTTTCAATTTCTGAAGATTTTATTAGGTCATAATATTTTTGTTTCTATTTAGCAGTTGATGGAACCAAGAGTTATATATATATGAGCAAGTATGGAATCTTTGTGCTGGACCTTTGTGTGATCTTCCAAAAGTTGGAGAAAATATGTCTATTATTTTCCTCAAGGACATATAGAGCTCGTGAGATTTCTCTCTATGTATTCTCAGTTTGAGTATCTATTTTATGATATTTTGATGGAGTTTCAGGTTGGGGCATCTACAAGAGAAGAGTTAAATGATATACAATCAATTTTTAATCTTCCTTCCAAACTTCTGTGTCTTATTACTATTCAGCTTAAGGTATATATCTATTGAAAGATCATGACCCGGATTCTCAATCCTCCCACAGGACACAAGGGAAACGATCTCACTGACTCCTTATGGTGTCGAACGACACCCATACCGTAATCCTGAATTTGGTTCACGAGCGTTACAATTTTCCTCCACTGACATAGATTCGTCCTCGAATCTTGCATCATAGTCCATCCGCAATGAACT